GTGAGGCTATTAGACATATTTTGCAAACTTATGAAGGGTGTTCTGGACAGATGGTGAATTATCAAAAATCTACTGTTAAATTTAGCCCAAACCTGGACGAAGAGAGGCGGAAGATTATTGGAGATTGCCTGGGGTGAGGACAGAAGGAAACAATGCTTGTTATCTGGGCTTACCTTCGTTCATAGGGAGAAATAAGAAGGAGATCATTAGTTATCTAAAGGAAAGAATCATTACTAGGGTGCGGAGTTGGAATAATAAATTTCTTCCCAAGACTGGAAGAGAAATTTTGCTCAAAACTGTGATTCAAGCTATGCCGACTTATGCTATGAACGTTTTCCTTCTGCCTAAGGAATTATGTGCTGAAATAGAGGTAATCATGAATGATTACTGGTGGCGAGGGGCGAATCAAAACTGAAAAGGGATTATATGGAAAAGCTGGCAAAAACATTGTATTCCGAAACAGAAAGTGGATTGGGGTATAGATCTGTGAGGGAATTCAATATAGCCATGCTGGGCAAGCAAGCTTGGAGATTAATCAAATATCCAGATTCACTTGTGGGAAGGATTTTTAAAGCGAAGTAATTTCCTAGTTCTTCATTTTTGCAGGCCAAGTTGGGGAATAATCCCTCCTTCATTTGGAGCAGTATTATACAGACTCAGGAAATGCTCGAGAAAGGAATAAGGAGGAAAGTGGGCAATGGTCAGACCATTTCGGTTTGGCGTGAGCGCTGGTTACCAGGGAAAGGGTCGGGACGAATTCAATCAAGGCCTCCAGCAGGAGTGGCTGACATGAATGTAGCGGCTCTGCTGAATGAGCAAGGGAATCAGTGGAATAGGGAAAGAATTAATATCATTTTTTTAGCTGAGGACAGAAGAGCTATTTTGTCTATTCCTATTAGCAGCAGGAGACCAACGGATGGCATTTGGTGGAATGAAGAAAATAGAGGAATCTATATAGTAAAGAGCAGTTATAGGATACTTCAGGGGGAATACATGAGCCGGGGTGGATGGGATGGACGAAGATGTGGAATCTTAAAATACCACCAAAAATGAAGTGCTTTGTATGGCAGGTGATGACGGGATGTCTACCTATGGCGAATAACCTTCGCCGTAGGCATGTGGAGATAGAAAGTGTGTGCAAGGTTTGTGCAGAGGAGGAGGAATAAGAAGAACACATATTCAAATCTTGCAGGATAGCTGATATGGTGTGGAGGAAACTGGGGCCCCGTAATGTCCGGAAAGGGCAGACTTTTACTGACTGGATTTTTTTTATAACTTGCAGGATGAAGACTTATGTATTTTTATTGCTAATCTTTGGAGTATTTGGAAGATTCGGAATGACAAAGTTTAGAAAAACCAAGATGCAGATTGGTGCCATTGCTTGGAGATGGGAGTAGGGGTGGGAAAACCTGAACCGAAACCCGGAAACCGACCCTGGCTCGGCCCGAATTATGATATCGGTCCGGGTTTTTTCTTTTTGACCGGACCGAATAAAAAAACGGACCGAACCCGAAATTTCGGGCTCTTTAACGGGCCCTAAAATCTATAACCCGGCCCGAACCGATAAAACCCGAAACAATTAGCCTTAATATAAAATCAATATAATATACCAATATAATTTATAAATTAATTCCTAATACATGATTATAATCATGATGGACGAAAAAATGACTTAATAACTTTTAGTGGCCACAAATATGTTCAATTTATTTACCGTAATGACCATGAAAACATATTTATAGTAACTTTAGTAACATTTTTATCCATAAATTTTATTTCATAACATTTTTAGAACACCTATACTACTTTTTTTATGCATCTTAAACAAAATATTATGATAATTGTCTTCTTTGGATTTGAATTCTTTGTGATTTTGGAGACTAATATTTGTGCTTTTTATTAATTTTATTTGCGGTTTGTACTTTTTATTAATTTTATTTGAAAATAGATTTTAAAATATAAAAGAAAAATGAGTGATTTCACATTCGGGCTTTAACCGATTCAACCCGAACCCGGACCGAACCCGAGCTACAAAAAACCCGACTCGGACCGAATATAGTGGGCTTTATTCGGTCTCTAATTTTCATAACCTGATACCTTACAGGTAATTTCCGGGTTTAGCAAAAACCCGACCCGGACTGGACCGATCCCACCCCTAGATGGGAGCAGCGGTTCTACGTGGATGGAAAACAGCTTAGATAGAGTCTGGAGGCACATCAAGGGTGACATGTCAGGCGACTGGTTGGAAAAAGCCAGTGGAAGACAAAATTAAAATCGATGTGGATGTGGCATTAGGTTCACATAATAATAGACGAGCATGGGCTTGGGTAGCCAGGGATGCACAAGGCAGATTTATTGACAATGGCTGGAATGTGGAAGGCGCTAACTGATCAGTGGAGATCACTGAAGTAGTTGGCGTACGCGAGGCGGTGACATGGGCAAAAACACAGAATGGGGGGAGGATAGAACTAGAGACAGATTCCCACGTGGTAGTGGCTGGCTTAGTTAAACGAGATGGGAATGCTTATTTGGATACTATTTTAGACAACATAAGACTCAGTCTTGGTAATGAAGCTAGGATAGAATGCATTCATGGTAGACGTTCCGCGAATGTAGTAGCTCATAAGTTAGCTAGGGCTGCTCTTTCTATGTCGGATGGTTTTTATGTGGTTTGTAATCTGCCTGCTTATTATCTCTCAGCTACACACTGAGAGTTTGAGTTGATTTAATGAATTAATTTTCCTCTCAAAAAAAAAACTTACGAAGTTTAGCAACCTAATCATTGAATGAGGCGGACAGTTGAAGTAAGCTTCTTCGCCGGCGAGATGTGGGAGGAGCAACCTCCACCGAGGGCAGCAGCGGTCAGGAAATCAGCCACCAAGCGCGAGACGTACTCTGTTCGAGAGTAGCCTGTATGCGTCCCACAAGCTGCCCGAATCCGTCCGATGCCGAGTTCGTCCGTACGCAGCGCTGCTTCCCGAATCCGTCGGATTTCGTATGCCAGCAGTGCACCGCCCAAAGTCGTCAGGTTTTGTCCGCCCGCAGTGCACCGCGGGTCCGCAGTGAGTCTGGCGTGAGTCGCACCAGTCCGCCTAGCTAAACAATTCCGTCTCTAGGTTGCCAATTACAGTGTCATATTGTAGCAGCCGCGGACTCGAAGCTAAGCTCTTATTGTCTTTTTTTTACTTAGGGTATGTTTGGGAATTTGAAAGGAAGGAGAAGGAAAGAATTTGAAGGTATGTTGTTAGAGGGGAAAGGGAGGGGAAAGTGATGAAACCCTTCTTCGTATTTGGGAGTAATAAAATTAGAAGGAGAGAGTTTTTGAAAGAATTATAATTAAAATCACTTTGAGATATGATGAATTTAAATCATTGAGCTGTGTTCATTTTTAATTTAGCTTATATTACCATCTTAATAATTATCCTTCAAAACCTTTCAAATTGGGGGAACTTAAAAATTGAGTTATTGGAGGGTTTTGAAGGGTTACAAAAGCCTTCCAAAACACCCCTCCAATTTTTTAAACTCTCAAACATGAAAAGTAGGGTCATAAACCCCCATTAACCTTCTCCTCCCCTCCAAAATTAAACTCAATTCCCAAACACACTTTGGGAGTTTGGAGGGAAGGGGAGGGAAAGGCTTTGGAGGTATGTTGTTGGAGGGGAAAGGGATGAGAGGGTGAGGAAGTCCTTCTTTGTATTTGGGAGTAATAAAATTGGAAAGAGAGAGTTTTTGAAGGAATTATAATAAAAATCATTTTGAGATATGATGAATTGAAATCATTGAATTGATATTCATTTCTAATTTAACTTAAATTACCATCTTGTTAATTATCCTCCAAAACACTCTAAATTGGGGAAACTTAAAAATTAAGCATTTGGAAGGTTTTGAAGGGTTACGAAAGCCATCTAAAACCATCTTTTCAATTTTTTAAACTCTCAAACATGAAAAGGAGAATCACTCCATTAGCCTACCCCTTCCCTCCAAAACTCAACTTCCAAACACACCCTTAGATGGAAGGAAGTAACGAGAAGCTGAATGAAGAGGGAATGAGATTTTGGAATAAGAGTATCTGCGGCGGTACATTAATAATAACCGCCGCGCGTGGTTATTTTTTTTAGTACCACCTGTTCCTTTACCTCTATCTATGAGGCCGTTTGGTGCACCCAATATGGGTTGATCAGCCTGAAAGTATAAAAAAAATCACCAAACAGTTGCTGATTTGGTTGTTTGGGCTGATTTTTATTATCAGCTGAAAAAGCAACACTTTACTTACTTTTTGAACTGTTTTTTATTATTGTACTGTTTCTAAATGAAAAGACCGATTTGCACTTCTATTATATGTATGTAGTACGTGAAAACATCATTGAAAGTTGCTTGGGTGGTCCAGATCAAAAGCTCCATGGTCATCTAGTTCTAAATACTTTATGGTTTTGGATTTAAGTAAAGAATCCAATGTCATCGGTTAATTAAGCTTGCTAATAATTACCTAATCAAACAAAATTAATTTATTACCAAAGTTCATACACATATATTTAGCACAAACAAGTTAATACCCTTTATGTAATTTTACCCTCAATCAACTTTTTCAGCCAACATATTACCAAACACTTTCACTTCAACACATTAAGTCTTTTCAGCCTATAAAGTCTATTCAGCCATTGCATCCATTACCAAATAGGCCCTATATCTTGCTATCCAACTACTGTCATGTCATTATTATTTTTTCTTAAATATCAGTAAGTATTGTCAAAAATATTTGTTCGTATCATGCTTAAATCTAGTATCGTGGAAACATAGAAATAATTAAAGGCTATTTAGGAATTTAATAAGGATAAAATTTACTACTAGCGGAGGGAGTATATACTTGGGCCACCCAATTGGATCAAAGTCCACTTTAATTGGCAGTTCCATTATGCACAATCACAGCTGTACACAACTGGCAGTTGATCCACGACAAATAAAGTCCATATATGTTGGGAGGCTTACTCAGCCTGCCACTTCCCAGCCGTACGTTAGCTTCTACGAATAATTTTCCTTTCATTTCGGACTGTACCCTAGTCAGCCAGCCACTTCCATTCCATTCCCCTATCTATTTACGCATCGAACACTACTATGTAAGCTGGCTGCTAGCTGAGCTAGTTTTGTTGATGAATAATAATGCCATTACATATTCCAATGGCAGTAAAGCTCAACGAAGAATCTCAGATTGTGGTATTAAACAGCGCCGTCATCGTCAAAACGGAGGCCGGCAAGAGTCGAACTAATAATTATCCAATCTTAAACGGGTTGCATGCGGGCTATTTCCGAATAAGCCTCTCCTTGTCCAGCCAAGCCTTACTTTGGAAAACGCTGTGCGAGCTGTCGTCATCAGACGGAGACGACGTTAATAACGCCGCTTCCGGGAAAGTGCTGCGCAAGTTGCTGCCTTCCACTGCTTTCGTCTTCATCTGGTCCTTGGCGCTCTTCGTCCTCCTCCTTCTCTCCCTCATCTACGCCGTCCGTTGCCTCCTCCGCTTCGACATGGTTAAGGATGAGTTCCGACACCACGTCCACGTCAACTACCTTTTCGCGCCCTGGATCTCTTGCCTTTTCCTGCTCCAGGCCTCCCCTTTCCTCAAACCCCCCGCCGCCGCCGCCGCCCTTAACGGTATCATGATCAACGGCTACCATATGGTGCTTTGGTGGGTGTTTGTGCTCCCCATCGTCGCGCTCGACCTCAAGATCTACGGCCAGTGGTTCACCAAAGGGAAGCGGTTCCTCTCCGGGATAGCCAACCCGACGTGCCAGCTGTCGGTCATCGGGAACCTGGTGGGCGCCGCGGCGGCCGCTCGCATGGGGTGGAGGGAGACTGCCGTGTGCATGTTTTCGCTGGGGATGGGGCACTATTTGGTGCTCTTCGTGACGCTGTATCAGCGGTTGCCGGGAAGCAGCCCCATCCCGGTGATGCTCCGGCCGGTGTTCTTTCTCTTCATCGCGGCGCCGAGCATGGCGAGCATAGCATGGCACTCCATCTGTGGGAGCTTCGACGTTTCGTCAAAGATGCTATTCTACCTGTCGCTCTTCCTCTTCTTTTGCCTGGTGCGTAATAACGTAACTGCGTACGTACCTTCCACCGCAAGTTGGTGAATTTTTCTTGGTCAATACATCCACGATATTCCTCTTTCCCCAATTGAATTGTAATTTAGGGGTTTTAGGTTAAATCAGATTCAACTAGCAAAAACCACATTAAAAGTTGTGTAAATTCATGCTAAAATCTAAAGTACGAGTAAAATATAATAAAAAGTTGATATGGCAAATAAGTTTTTAAATTGAAACCGTATTGATTAAGAATTAGCGCGGACAGGATTATTTATTTATGAGAGAATTTCCCAAATGGGACTAAAACTTGGTTAAAACTCCAAAGTGAGACATTAAGTTTTTTATTACCTAAATAGGACTTTTAATTACCGATCGGACAAAATTGCCCTTTCTTAGTTCCTGCTGCAACAATTCACTGGGTGCGATGAAGGTCGTTTGCGAGTTGCGATGCACGGATGAACGGCTCCCCAGGTAAGTTTCTTCCGATCTTTTTCTTGTACTCATCTCTTAATTTCTTCTCAAGCTCCCTTGTTTTCTTCTTCTACAAGTCTTCTATTTTCTTCTTCTTTTGGATTTCCAAGTTTTTATAATCATGAGTAATTTATTTTTAAAAGATTCATATTATTGTTCTAATCACTTCAATCTGAAAAATGACATAGTTGATCTTTAATTGAACACTGATTTGTAATAATGTCACTTTCATGACATTACATTTGCTAAGGTGACAATTTCAAAGAAGAAAATGACATTTCCAGAGTAATAATGTCACTTTCATGACATTTTCAAAACAAAAGTGACATTTTCAGATTGTCATCCTAGTAAATAAACTGTCACAAACGTGACATTTTTTCCAAATAACCAATATTTTGACATTCTCGGATTATAAAAGTGACATTTTACTGAATAAATAAATTCAAATTCAAAAAGTCCAAATTAATAAATAAAATTCAAATCCAAAAAAATTAAAGAAGAGAACAGAGGACCAAAAATTTGAAGAGGATTAGAAGAAAAGAAGAAGAAGAAGAAGAAGAAGAAGAAGAAGAAGAAGAAGAGGTGGAAGAAGAAGAAAGGAGGGGGAGGAGGATACCTATGGTCGATGGCGGAGCTACGGTGCGACGCCATAGCGGATGGCGGAGATGCAGTCCACAGGAGGAAAAGATGTGCACAGCTGCTAAATTCCAGTCGATGGCGAAGAAAATAGAAGACCTGTAGAAGAAGAAAATAGAAGACCTGCGAGAATGCAGCGACAAGTGCAGAGAGCTATTTGGGGAAAATGTGATTTAGGGATTAGGGGCAAAAAGGTAATGTGGAGTCCCATTTAGGAAATTTAAAACTTGAAGTCCTATTTTGGAGTTTTAACCATGTTTTAGTCCCATTTAATATAATTTCTTTTTATTTATTAATAATAAGGAGTACTACGTAGTATAAAATTATTTAAAATATGAATAATATATGGAAATTAAATGTTATTTCACTTATATGTTACAAATATTTTCATGAAGTATACTCCGTATAATTTAAAAGTTCTACACAAATTTAATAACTTGAATCATTGTACACAATATACTACGGAGAGACTATATATAGTTATAACTAGTAAGTATGCAGTAATGCCTTAGAATACCTCCCAAATTAAATGATATTGGATGTTTGAAGTTATTATATACTACGTATTCTGTATGAGGTTTGCTGATTTACTCCGCAAGTTTTGTTTATGAAAATTACTCCGTATTAATCTTGACAATCTTATCATGAAACTAAAAATATTTTCCATTTATGCACTTTTCCACATTTAACAAGGTAAATTGTACTTCGTATACTTGTAACTTTTGGTAATTTTAATTTTGTAATTTCTTATATTTGTAACTAACTTTGTAGATATTTTAATTTAACTACATAGTGTTTTATAGTCTAACAACTTTTCATATATAGTGCATGTTCTTTATCGTGTAACTTCACTCAATTATAAATTTGGTCATGTAACTAATAAATTATCCAACATAAAATATTTTTAAAATGATGAAAATTTTGATGTCGATGTCATATTTTCTACTATGTTTTGCTTCGTAAAGTGTGTTTTACGGTAGATAGGTCCTTCAAATAGACAAATTTGTTGATTTCATGACCAGCTGCCCACTTCTTCAAGTGATAAAGTTACATGAGTAAGCATGTTTTCAGTCTCATATCAGACCAGATCAAATTTTAACCGACCAGATTAGACCAGAACAAACTTAAACAGACCAGATTCAGAATTGGATAGTTATTAAATACTTTGTACACAGAGACTAGAGATTTACCATACCGGACCAGTTCAAATCAAATCAGGTCAAATCATACTTCAACATATCAAACCCTATCACATTAGACTAGCAAATTTCAATTCAAAAGAAAACATCCCTTATAACGGATACAATCGAAAATTACGGGAATGTCTCTTGCTCAAATTTAAGTCATATGACACAGGGAAATAGGCCAATCAAATGGAGAGAAAGTCGTGGGTATAAGAATAAAGTTTAGGGGAATCATGAATGGTAACTATATTCACAACCTAATTTCCTACTCTAAATACGTAGCCTTATTTTTATTGCCTCCTCTTTTTCTGTCTCTAATTTGAAGTCAAGAATATGTGTCGATGAATAGGGAGGTTGGATGTTGATTATGAGGTAGATTTGAGGGAGAGCACTACTTCATTCATGATGATTTGGGCAATAACGTCATGTCGATAGTAAGTGATTCTACTTGAAATGGTTGAATGAGCTGATTTATGAAAAAAAGTTATATTAAAAATATACTTGTATTTTATTAAATAAAGTAAATAAAAAATTATACTCCTTAAAAAAAGTTAAAATAGTTCTTTTCTGTAACTTCGGTCAATTCAACAAAAACAAAAGAAAACTATAATCCTACTTGTTTTGATTACTACACAGAACATGATGTAAAATCAAAACTTACGTGTTTGATAAAAATATTGACCAATTAAGTATACTTACGTATTTTTTACATTTTTATTACACATTAAAATGTAATTATTTTTTATTTTATTTTATTTAGTTTCACAATTCATCAGATTTAAAATCCATTTCATAACCCCTATTTGCAGATAATCTGATGAATTGTGAAACTAAATAAAATAAAATAAAAAATAATTACATTTTTAATTTCTATATAATTTGTCATGCACTATACGTAGTATTACTAAAACATACGAAGTATTTATTTTTTCATAAGCGAGTATATAAAGAATGAAAGCCAATTATAACTTCACTAATTAATTTCAACTTTTAATCCCTTCCTATCATTTAGTCATATCCTCCTAAGTTTCTCCCATGATGTCGACAAAATGTTTTGAAAGAAGTGACAAACATATAATCTAGTAAAACCATGTGATCACCTAGCTATATAAAATGTGATTTGATGTGAGTTCGAGCAACCAGTTGGGGAAAATACGTGTACTACTTATTAAAACTATAAAAAATTAGACACATGCATGCTAAAAATAACATCATGCGTGCGTAATTTCGTCACATTTTGACAATTGATATGAAATTTAAAATGTATTTCGACCTTTCCTGTGGTACATCACAAAGGAAAATGTAAAGTGACCTTAATTCCACATATTACTGCTGTTGCATAGTACGAAGTAATTGATTGTTATTTGGGACGAAATGCAATATTATAAGCAGGTGGGTAGCAAATCGCTGCATTTTGCAGCGTTTTGATGTGTTAATTGATTAGCGGTTTGCTCCATCCGCTGTTATCCAAACGGCACCAAATATCTTCCAAAAAAACTATGTCAATTATTTTGTAATAGGAGATATATATATATAGTTATTTGAGGCATATATGTTGAATTGGGTGCAGATATGTCGACCAGGACTGTTCAAGAAGTCAATGAGAAAATACAACGTGGTATGGTGGGCATATTCATTTCCTGCAACGGTGATGGCGATTGCGTCAACAAAGTACGCCCAGGAGGTGAAGAGCACAGAAGCGCACATCCTAATGCTCATTCTGTCTGCACTCTCGGTCACGGTGTCGCTTATTCTCTTGTTTTGCACTGCGCTCAATGCCAATTTGCTTCTTCTCCGATCTCCCTAATGCATCAATGACCACCCCGCTATCGCCTTTTCTTAATTACGGACTAATAATATACTATGGATGTACGTACGTACATATCTATCTACAAAAATCATAAATCATAAGTGATGAATATTAACCTGTGATAATACCCTACTTTGATCTATACGTACTAACGTACGTAGTATCTTATGTACTCTATTTTTTTAAAATAAGAGCTAGTGTTGTTAGGCTGCAAATATGTTTAAGTAAATAACTGATACAAGTATTTATCAAATGGAGTAAATTAAAGTGGATTACATGTCAGCAAACTAGAGACCAAGTCCACCATTCTACACGCGCAGATGGCTAAGGATAGAATTGATGTGGTGGTGTTATTCAAGAGCAAAATTGACAAAGGAATAGGAACAACTCTGCCCACTAGTTATTATATACTCTCTGAAGTTCCTAATTTTACTTTACAAGTATACTCTTACTTTATGTCAAATCAAACAAAAAGTGGGTAAAAAGTAAGGCTAGTTGTGATTTTTTGGTTAAAAATGGTTTCCTTTTATAGAAATGAGAACTTCTTTTTGGAACATCCATAAAAGGAAAGTGAGAACTTCTTTGCGGGACGGAGGTAGTATAATTTATAAACGGTGATAACTCCGATACTCATTTAAAAATGAGGAACCATACCTACCACTCACTTGATTGCTTCAAATCATTACATCATTTTTAATTTAGATTTAAATAATTCAACTACATCATTCTGATTGGTCCATGTGGACAAAGATATGGTACCTTAAGGGTACCATAGAATCTAAAACAGACATTGAAATCACTTTATCTTCTCTTCTACGTTAGCAAAGTGATAACAAAGCTTCCAGCTCTATTTTTATTGCTTCCATTTTTATTTCATACTCAAAATTGTATTTCTTGTACGCAGCCCAATATAATTCCTTTGTCTCTTTGATTATTTCAATTTACAAAAAATTGCTAAAACATGTGTACATAAGGTAAAAAAGACGTATAAAAAACTCCAAACAAATTATTTGTATCTACTCATCCCAATAAACCGCGCTGCCTACACCACCGGCGGCATTCATTCTTCGGATATTTTAAGTTTAAAAACTCAGGCGTATGATTAGGTCCCCTGGACCATGGTCATGCTTCGCCAGAAAGCTTGGATGTATTTCTGTTGCATTTTCCGTTGAAAAATTGAAATACAATAGGAAGAATATTTTCCAGATCATAGAGGGCTAGAGCCGAAGAGGGTTATGGTTTCACAATATAATTACTCATGAGTACTGTGAGTGGATAATAACCGTGAATATGCGCAACTCAGACTATGTTCCGATTCGGTCATTCAGCACCACTTTCTTAGTCTTACTAAAAATAAAATAGACACTCAATACCAGAAGGGGTCTAGTCAGGTGTTAGCTAGGAGGAACCATGCCACATTTGGACCGGTGCCCATACCGATTCCGAGTTTGTAGTCCACAGACCAGCACCCCAGGTTAGATATGGACAAGTGATTTCTTTATCACTTCACATTTTTCACACATAGTAGTAACATCTTATCTTCACAAGATAATGTAACACAAATAATATGTTTTCAAATGCATAAAAATGTCATTCTATCGTATTGTTTTGATGAGAATGTGCAAATACAATTACTAAAGGAATGAAATACAAGACTCCGTCTACCTAGACATACAACTCATTCTTTAAACTTTCTATTATAGACCTAGAAATTAAAGATTCAACAAAAGGAGTGTTCTATGCGAAATTTCAGACTTGGATGCTCATAATGATGAACAAACAAATGGTTGAGCAATTCAGGATGTTAAATATCACCTCTGAATGTCTTCTGTGAAAAGATGAATTACAACAACAGAATCGTGTGAATAGGAATTAACTGCCTGCAGCGCCCTATAGAGCATTACCAAGTGTCTTCACAGTAACTTTCAATGACAAAAGAAGGTAATAAACTGAAGATGCCAAAATCTCTATAGCATGCACACACATATATCACGATCAATCATTGTTGTTTACTAAAGAGGGTGGGAGGGTTCCGGGTTCGGTTTATGACCTAATGCTCTACCACAAAGAAGAACATTGGAGGGAATGGGATACTCATCTCTCCAGGAATTTGCCGGTGAATAAACTCGAAGGTAAAGCTGTTGACCTAAGTATTGCCGTGCCCAGTTCTGAGACCTTATATTCCACATTCCCACGTTGTCCAGCGGCACATACAGTGCAGTCCAAGACTTGGGATACACCTGCAGTTCATAAAATAGAGGATAAAGATAACTTCGTTATGTACATTTTATACATTTTTATGGTTTAGATTTACCAGAAAATCAGCAACAAGTTAAGATAAATGACCTCTATGACACTAGACATAATTAAGAAAAATGACCTCCATGACCTTCCAACATCACACAAAAAGCCACAAAACTTTAACTTTGTTACGGGCTTTAGGGTAAATATGGAGTACTATTTTTTTACCACCCTGTATCGAATACCAAGTAAAAACATGTGGTGTAATAATTTCTTAACAAAGCGCACAGTTTAGTGAGCTATTTTAATTTATTTCATCATATTTACAAGCTAAAAAAAGTGAGTCTTTGGCTTCAATTGGAAATTAAATTACCAATTACTATAATAGAGATGAAATTATCAAAAATAGTATATATATATATTATTATATTATATTTATATATAATAACAAAATAGTGAGAGGGATCTTTTGGGTGGGAACACGGTAGCTAGCTTTTTTTATTGATTGATTAATTATTGAATTAATTATTGCTTGGGCAGACGAACTGAATTTTAAAATTCAAAATCTGAGTGTAAAACTTGGGCGGCATACGCTGCACACAATACTAAAAGACTAGGGCCGTTAACAACCATCAATTAGAGTGACTTTTAGTATTCCAAATACGGATAGTATTTTTTTTGAAATTCCAAATACGGATAGTAATAAATAGGATCAATTTTCCTTGCAAAACAAAAAAAAAATAATTAGGATAAATTTTCGAGTGCCTTTTGAAATTCCCTAGAGCAATTATTGTCTTCAAGGTGGATGCCACTATATATTGAGTTAGGAGTACCATAAATCCTTATTAAGATACTATGACATAAGACACCAGGGCACAGATGCACACATACGGATATGCTCCTATATCTGATATGAGAAGAAAGCCATTATCCTTCGAAGAATTCTAATGGTATAGGAGCATATCATTTTCAATTTACCATATTAGTGTATACGATCTCAAATATTCATTTTCTAAATTTTTAATTTGCCTAAAGAAATGTTAGCATCTGCTTTAATTTCTTGCCTTTTAACAACAAATTTAGATCGAAAAAGTTGACTGAAATTCATTGTTATTTGTAGTTATGAGTTGTGACATACTGTGGACTGACTTATTAGACCAAAAATGTTCTTAAAATCAAATCCTTTTTATCTAAAATATAATATACGTAGTATTACTTATATCATTAATATTAAGACCAAGAAAAAAATATGTATTTCTTCAAGAGAAAAGAAATTCGAGTAGTATATGGGGAATATACTTCTTTGTTACTGTGTTTAACTCTTAAGTCAAAACATTTTATCCAAAAAATTATTATCCCCGTGCATGCACGGGTACTATACTAGTACATAAATATAAAAAACTATCTGACTCTCTAAGTATTTAGAAATAGAGAAAATATATGTTTATAGACAAATTCCAGTCGATAATAGAACTTTCATGTCCCAAAAAGTCGGTTGTTTATCCATATTCCTATAAGGTCAACCTAATCATATGTGCATCTCAAGGTCTTATACTCTTATATATAGCTAATGTAGGACACCTGTCAATGATAATCGTGAAATCATACCTCAAGCTGAAATCTCCAACTCTGAAAATTACTTATGCAGGTTAATTGCAAATATTTTAGTCCCTTTTTTACCTGTACAGTGGATCGAGATATTGTGTCCCTTAAATTGTATGCTAATCTGCTTGATGGATCCCATTGTCCTCCATCCATCCTGTTTATAAACCAAACAATGTTTACAAGTTAGTAGCATGCATTTTTGCAATGATAAGGAGACGTTTGGTACTTTCCATGGAAAATGCACTTCAGTCCATTTTCCCACCCCTACCTTGTCACTTTGTCAGTCACTTTTCATGGAAAGTTATGGAATTTTAAAACTGATGTAACCATTTTTCACCCAATAATTAACGTGCAGTTCGTGTTTGTTGCAAGGTAAGTATGTGAGAAGTGTTTTAATTTCCATAGAAGATAAATGCATTCCATCATAACAGACATCACCTCAAAGGAAATGCTTACCCGACAACAAAGAAATGGTGGCCATCAATATGCCATGACTGGACTGTGTCTTCTGAATTCTCAAACACGAGCTCCACATAAGCTCTGAAATCAGCAGCCATGACAGAGGTCTGAAGGTAAGCACCAGAACCGGCAGGCCTGTCAGGGATGCTTCCAAGAGTAAAAACTCCCTGAATCTGGAAATAATCAGCAAGTTTGAGCGGCGTATCTGCCGGGCTAAAAGATACACTGTTGATTGCATATCTTTGTTTTCCATTGATGATTGGAGCAGAATTTGAGAGTCTGATTGTCCTTGTGGTGTTGATCAATCCATAATGGTATGAACCTTGGGGATTAGGCCGTGGTCCACTAGCTGTTAGATTTCGCCTGTTTGATCAGTAACATCTTAGACTACGTTTGGCAAGCTTTAAGCTAGCAATTACCTCATTTCAAAGAAGCTTTTCAAATAACTTCTGTTTAAGTTGGGGAACTTATTTTAAAGTTTGAGCTTATTTAGCAAGCTTCATGGCGTAGCTTTTCAAAGAAGCTATGTGACATATTTGATTTTTAATCTCGCTTTTATTTTTTAAATATCGTTATGGTTGAAGTTTTATTTTTAAATAGTTTCAAATGCATCATTTTTGTCATGTATTTCTGTGCTCCCTTATCAGGTAGTATAATGTTAAATGAGATTCGCGAACTCGTCAATTAAAAGGCATAAATTTATTAACTTATAACTTACTTGTTACTACGTCCAATTAATAAGTCCAACTTTCATTTTTGGTTGGTCTCTCAATCATGTCCACTTTCCTTTTAAGACTTCCCTGACTTGACACTTTTTCTCTTTACCCATTTCTAATTTGACATTTTTACCTATTTGCACTTTTTTATGTGAATCATCTACCTTTTAGAGTGTAAATTTGGAAAGTGGCCAAATTCTCCTATTATTTGTGTGATGGTTTCTTGTATAGGTCACCAATAAAGGCATACTTTGGGACAGATAGATGAGTACTAACAAATTTTGGGACATATAGGTCAATAGTTAACTTATCAACTATGAAGTAACTTGTTTGCTTGTTTTACAGAACATGGTCTTAAATTGTTAAATTCCTTTCTTTTATCAATTTAAGCACACAAGCATATCGCTATAGTTTTTACCTGATAGATCTGGCCTGATTCATAGACCAATCAATTTGAATAGTAGGACCGCCGGGTAGAGGTCCCAAAACACTTCCTGCAGAGTTACCATATTGAAGAATGGAAGTTGATGTGATCACATTAGATGTGAACCGCGTTGAAAAGACAACATAATAATCTTGTGCAGGTTGATCAGCAGTCACCAACACTGAATAAGACTGCCCTAAATGGATGTCAAGTGAATCATATGTATTCTGCAGTGTATGTGTGCCTTCAACCTCAACTAATACCATCTTGTGCCCTTGGATTCTGAAATTCAAAGAATTTGCAAGTCCAA